AGGGGCTGCGGGTGGGGCCGGGCCGTGGCCGAGTGGAGCAGAGCACCGGGCGACGCGGGTCGGGGTCCTGCGCGCCCCGGCAGGCTGCACGTTACCGGCCCCTGGATTGGGGCCAGTCTGGAGGCAGTTTCTGCATATCCGGATTGTGCCCCTGCCATGGCTGCCCTCCTGCGCTGCCCATTCCCTTGCGGCTTGGCCCGGCTCCTGTGCTCAGTGTCAGACCTCACCTTGCCTTCCACGTGGCAGCCGTGGGGCCAGCCCTGGGTCCCCCGGGATGGCTCTGCCCCACGTCACCCGGAGCCTCTCGCGAGCCGAGCGGGGACCTCCGTGCCAAGGCCGGCTCCCGCCTGCGCTGGCTGAAGGGGTCCAGCTTAGCTCAGGGTTACAGCCCCCCAGCGGGGCAGGCGGCTCGTGGCTGCGCCCGCAGGGAACGGCAGCAGTGACCCCAGGGGCGTGGGCGGCACATGGGGAAGAGCCTGCGTAAACTGGGCAGCCCCCCGGCCGCAGGCAGCAGGTCTTCCCCAGCGCGGGGTCTGCGGGCGGGCGGGCACGGGGAGCCGGGTGCAGCCCTCACGCCCGCCCGGGCCGCGCTTTCCCCTGCAGCCGTGTGGAACTTCCCGGGCTCCAACGCGCATCACCTGCCGCTGCAGATTGGGGAGGCCGTGCACATCCTGCAGGTGTTGGAGGGTGAGTGCGGGGGTCGGGGGCGGCCCTGGGCACCCCAGGCAGCTGCGTGCATTCTCCTGCTGGGCACGGAGGGGCCTGGACCCCGCGGCGCCCCGCCGGGGAGGGGCTGCCGCAGCCCAAGCCCGTCTCTCACTGCCTGTCTCCCTTCCAGGCTGGTACCGAGGGTATTCGCTCAGGAACCGGGCTGCCCAGGTAAGGGTGCTGCTTCGCACCCCCCCCGGCCTTGTGCTCCTGTCCTGCCTGGGGTCCTTGCTGTCCTGAGCAGTGCGGCCCCCCCATGGGCCGGGGCAGGCACCGACACGTGGGGCATGGAGAAAAGCTCCCCCCGTGCCCCTTGCAGGGCAGCTGTGCTGACGGCCCCTCCTCTCCGCAGGGCATCTTCCCAGTCTCGCTCATCCACCTCAAGGGCGCCCATGTGGAACGGAGGGGGTAGGTACCGGGCTGCCCGCGTGCGGGTGCCTTGAAGTGCTGGGGACCATCGGGAGGCTCCACGCCAGCCCCTGGCCATGGGGTCATTGGTGGGTGGTCCCCCCGGGAGACGCAGGGTTTTGAGAAGGGGGTGCAGGGTGGGGCGCAGTCGCATGCACAGCCAACATGGCTCCAGTCAGAGCGAAACCGGGAGCCGTGCTGGTACGGGACGGGCCCCCCACTCCCTTACGTGGTGCAAGAGCAAACCA